CAACTTGAACAAACGAGAGAAACGACATAAGTACGAACTTCGTTTAGCTGTGCAATCCAAGACGACTTCCAAGGCACTCTTCTCATACCTGATGAGAAGTACCAGAGCAGGCATTGGTATTCCTGCTCTGTATTCCTTGGCGCATTTCGGTTTACTTGACGATGACATTGCGAAAGCCAGTCTTCTGGCCATGCAACATTCCTCTGTTTACTCTATGGAGACGCTGTTTCCCACTGACGCGGTGCCAATACTCCCTTCTCCGTTGGAGCATGTAGAAATGAGCGCTGATGTCGCCAAAGGCATTCGTGAATTAAATCCGAACTGCTCTCTGGGTCCTGATGGGTTGCATCCGCTGTTTCTCAAGACTGTGGCAGATTACATTGCCGCTCCTGTTTGCCGGGTATTTCGCCATTCTCTTGAACTTGAAAGGCTCCCGATTGCTTGGAAAGTGGGGATTGTTAAACCCATACACAAAGGAGGGCATCTTCAAAATCCTCCCATTTATTGACCCATCTGCTTAACGTCAATATTGTGCAAGGTAATGAAGAGGATTCTCAGGCGGGCACTTCTTCTCCACCTCGAGAATCTAAACGTCATCTCTTGTGCGCAGCATGGTTTTCGGCGGGCACGCTCATGTTCTTCGAATCTGCTTGTGGCCCGTAAAAGATGGTCGAAATTATTAGACGCTGGGAAACGTCTGGATGTTATTTATGTCGACTTCAGCAAGGCATTTAACAAGGTTCCTCTTGAAAGGCCCCTTTATAACCTACGAGGAATAGGTGTTTCTGAGAACGTTTTCTCTTAGATCGCTAATTTTTTGGATGACCGGACAATACGAGTCAACGTGAACAAGACTTACTCCGCTTCTGTGCCCATGACTAGCGGTGTCCCACAGAGATCGGTCCTGAGCCCAGAACTTTTCAAGATCTTCATCAATGATCTCCCGGCGGAACTTCAGTTGGATTGCTTGGTTTACGCTGACGACTTGAAGTTGTGGATGGAGGTATCTTGTCTTGACGATGCGGACCGATTACAGGCTACATTTGATACGTTACATGAGTGGTCAATCAAATGGCGATTGCCCATACATCACGATAACTGCTCGGTCCTCCCCGTTGGTGCTCCTGAGCCTTTCGTGACGTACCACATAGGTGGGGCGTTGTTCAAAACTTCAATCCTTGAAAAATACCTCGGCGTGTTGGTGTCATCTTATCTACGGACTACACAGGACACGTTACGAAGGATTGCTGCTGCCAACTGGATGTCCCATGCCGTACGGAGAGCCTTCTCGCGTTTGACTCCGGATATATTCAGACTCTTGTATACTTTCCATGTCCGCCCCATTCTCGAATACGGATTACCTGCCGTCTTCCTTCTCTCCAAGTTCAAATGTGACCTCATTGAGAACGGTACAGGACTTGCCTTATCCCCTGAGACTTCAGAGGATAAACCTGTTCTCCCTGGATTATCGCAGACGTCGCGGTGACATGATTTTCACCAGGCGCATCCAGAGAGGATTGATGGGGACGGAGCTGCTGGCGTGCTTTCAATTCAATGCAAACAGTTCAACTCGAGGCCACAACTAGAAACTGTTTAAACCCAGAAGGCTCCGGGTTCATCCTGCTCTCGCTCTATCAACTCGCGTAGTCAACAATTGGAACGACTTACCGAAGCATGTGGTTGATGCCCAGACTGAGGAATATTTCAAGCGAATGATAGCTTCTTATCTTTTGAATACGATGGGACCTTGCAGCTTCTACTGTAGCTGTCACGGTCTCTTGTGGATTACCGCTTAACATCGAATCGCGGCCTCCACACAGTGATCAGGAAGCGATGGAGCAGACAAAGGATTTCTCCTTCTGCTCTTTACAATCCTATGATCCGTCACGGACAGCATTTTAATCGCTTATCGTTAGACGGTCGCTCCGTACGTCACACTGGTAGTACATAAAACGCTCGTGTGCGGCACGGTAGCTGAGGTGTTTCTAACTAGCTAACGTGTGTAATGTTGATGATGATCTGCGAAACACAAATAAGCTGGACTTTGGAAATACAACGAACAACAGGAGTCTGTCAGCCAATTATTGGTCAGTCAGTCTGACTAGCGTCCTGGTCAGACTGCTTGAAAAGCTGGTGAGAGATTCGTTGGAAGGTCACCCGAATACATTTAAAGTACTCAGTAGTGCACATCACGAATTCCGGAAGGGGTTTCCGTGTCTGACGAATTTGTTGGTTGCTCGTGAAGTTTGGGCCGAGGCAGTGCACAAAGGCCACGTAGTGGGTGTGCTTTTCGTCCACTTCTCGAAAGAATTTGATAAGGTACCCCACTTGAGGCTATCACAACAGCTGAGCTCCTACGGCGTATCTGGTCGCGCCCTTCGCTGGGTGTCTACATTCTTGCAGGGAAGAAGGCAGTGTGTACGTGTGGGTCGCTGCTTATCCTTTAGGCAAGCGGTCCTTAGCGGTGTCCCACAGGGCTCGGTCCTTGGACCGACGCTGTTCTCCATCTACGTAAACGATCTCCATGGAAAGTTTGGGGTGTCATCTCTATTGTTTGCTGATGACCTTAAGCTATGGAATGTTATAAATGTTCCTGGGGTTCTGAGGCCATACAGCATTCCCTGGACCGACTCTGGGACTGGTCTATTTTGTGGCTACTGCCCACTAATCAGGCTAAGTGTTCCGTCCTTCGTATAGGAGCAACTTATTTGCCTTCGAGATAGGTGCTCGGTGGGGTCGAACTCCCCCTTGTCTCCAACCAGGTAGACCTAGGCGTCGTCAATTCATCGTCTTTGCATTCTGGGAACAACTGGAAGAATGCCGCAAGTAGGCGTTTCAGAATGTTGTGGTTTATACATCGTTCTTTCGGGGTCTTAACTGCCGACATATTTGTGAAGCTGTTCTCAGCTTTCGTTCGGCCCCATCTGGAATACTGCGTCCAGGAATTTTATTTTTCACAGTGACTATCATCGAGATGCTAACTGGCAGCTTTCATCCTCTTCTCCCTCTCTCATTCTCTTTTATCTTATGCAAATTGTCGCGACTTTAGTCCTCTCATTACTGCCCCTGGACGGCTCACAAGCACCATACTGCGACGGGCCCGTTATCTCCGTGAGGTTCATATCGGTTATAACCAGACTGGTTTCAACCCCCTCGGCGTGCGTTGATCATTCCTTCTTACTTCATCCGGTGCTGAAAGACTCAAATAGTATCGTTTTGCGGTTATCTATAACTGTGACTGTGAGCCACTAAAGCGTATGTCGGCCTGCGTGGTGGTATTAAGTGCCTTAACTTGCACTACTCAGGGCTACTTCCACTCACGCCATATTCAACCTTAACCTGCTGAAGCACGATCTGGGCGCATGTGGACTGGACCACGTTTGTCTCAGAGCCGACCCCCGCTCCTTCACCCCATGCATTTGAAGTCTACGCGGGTCCACGTGACAGTTGCTCATTGTGGTTGGAACACCAGGAACTCACATAGTAGGTAAGCTCACACATAGAAAGCACTCTATCCTTCTAAGCCCGGTTGATCAATTAGAAATGAAGGTTGTTGATTTCGGTTACGGTAGGTCACTGTCAAGCGGTTTAGCAAACCACCGTAAAGCGCATACCGCATTACATGCACAGAAGAAAGTAAACATATAAATGGGAGGGGCTATAGAGGTAGGAGCTCATGTCCAAGAGCGCTGCTAAATTTGCAGCGGCACTATGCCGGTAAGATCCCTAACCGGGATTATGGACTTTGTCGAGACTCCATACAAGAAACCGACACACACACTAACTCTACTACACTTCGCGACCGATCTTTTCACGCCTTTTCACTTTCACTGACTGATGGTCTTGAATCTTCACCCGACCAGGCCGTCAAAAACAGCATCAGACGCACACCAGTATTTGGTACTAATGTTAGTTGCCAAGCAAACTCAGGCGGCCACGCATGAGCTCAGACCGATGTCGATGAGCGGGCTCTAACTAGGGTCATAGGTGCTTTAACACAAACGACTGAACCACGCATGATATCCTAGCCATTTGATATTTAAAGCTAGGCAATCTGCTACTTCCTTAAATTCCCTGTTTGGTCTGGAGCCGTAAAAGCTGATCAAATCACATATTTTTACCTGTCGATGGATGATGCTCCAATGTCAAAGAAACAACAGGAAGGCTTGAAAAGATGGACCGATAAGTTTGTCCAAGAAGGTGCTTGCCTCCTGAATCGCGATTTCTGCAATGTCCGTATCGTGTTTTTGGCGCGGAGATGCACACGAACCACTGCTCCGTTGTATCGCGCAGTTAGATCACATGAGTGGGCTATGGGTTATGCACGCTTTACAGCAACTCTCGCGACGTTCAATATTTGCGCGACCTCAGTGTGGACAGAATGAGAGGAGGGAAGGCCAACTGATGGCCTAATCAACTTCATACTTGGCCTCGACTGATATCTTCCCAATCCCTGACTGGAGTGCGAAACTTTGAACACTTTTGGTTGGGGAAGGACCGATTTCAGTCATATTCGTGCTTTGCATTTATTTGCAACTCTTTTTGCAACCAGGATGTCACCACCGCCGACCTAACATTGTGTTTTTCTTCCGCTATTATACCTATCTGCTTGCTGTTTATTGCCGCACAATAACTTTTTCTCACCGATGGCTAACCTACAGAGTAAGGATAGTATTGACCATGCCTTTCGATGGTTTTACCCACTTTGTCACGACACAATCAACAGGTTAACACTTGTCTTTAGATTTACCGCTCCTTAGGAGTCTTTTCGTCTACCAACTATGACATTCGTTCCTTTCTTTTCTTCGAGGGTTTGATTATATTGCTTTTTACCTTTAATTTTTTCCCGTTGAGGTTTAACGCTGTCATGAACAATGAAAACTGGACGAAGATTGCCTCACTAGCACAGTGTTCTGCACGAAGTTATCCTGTAGTTATGACCGGAATTTTATAACTTATCTAGTTATTACTCTTCGCTGACCTTGCTATTTCTTATTACAGATTCACTGTGAACACCGCTCCATTGCGTCCTGGTTACTGCGGCGTTTTCTGATGTTTCCGCACTGGACATTTTACTTATCTCCCGTGTCACTGGCTTTCTTCCCTCGATGTCCTGGTCCATTTATGTGCCAGTGAAATGCTGTTTCTCATCTAATGAAACCTTTTGAGGCGCATGCCTTATGGTTCGTTCCGTGCCTAGTTTGTGGCAAATGGATTGACCAACGCGACGCCGTCACTTGGTAATTACGCAAAGCCGGGACCCCTTAATCCGTTCTTCGTACCTCGCAGTCAATCATGCGCTTCGGTATATTATTGCAGCTCTGCATGTAGAAATACAAATTGGGATTCCGAAGTGAATGGCGAACATAGCCACAAACTGTGGTGTTCCAAGATGAAGACATTTATGTCTGTTGAGTCACAGGTTTGTGATCTTCCTCTAAGTTATGCCCGAGGTACTTTTTTTCTCACATGTTTACACTCTTACAGTCACAACTGACGCCAGGTTTTGCGAAAAACAACTGGCTCAATTCTTTTCTGTGCTTGGCATACTTAACTTGGGCCTTTGGAAATATGAATATCGCTCTAACCGGAGTATCGCCTCCTGGGACTCAGTGAATTCACCGGGTACGTTGACTCTGTTGGCTGTTTCCGTTCGTTTTATGCACGCATTTCCCCTCGCGCATTTTAATATTGCGAAAGGAAACCACATTTTAACGGAATATACAGAATTCAGCTATCTCGCATATCCTCCTCAGCTTTTTAGATACAATTCCTGGATTGAACAGGCCGCATATATCCAAGATAATCAACCTTCTCTGTTATCGGTGCAATTTAAGACTATCGTAACCTTGGTTTCAGTGACATTTGTGAACAATCGGTTTGATTATTTATTTGACAACATCCCGCTTTTGTATCAAAAGCGAGACATTGCCAACCGGTTGTTCACAAGTCTGCAATCATGACTTCTTGATCGGTTCCGAGTATATCCCAAGCGTTCAAAATCCATTGTTTTTATGTGACTCCGGTCAGAGGAAAAGGCGATCACTGTTCTCACCTTGGTTGGGCGAGTCGGCTCACGAAATCCGTCTGTTTACATAAACTTGCTTTCAATTACCGAATCGCCGAAGCCTCAGCGAATTGAAGTACCTCGTCTTGTTTATTAATAGTCCGTGAATTGAAAAAGCTATTGAAGGCGGCACTGATTGATGCAATGACTGACACAGCTCCGCTCTCCATGATGTCGACTTCCTCACATGTATGGGCTACCGAAAGCTTGTCTGGAAAGTATCCCTTTACGTTCAATCGTCTCATCGGTAGACGGGCCGCACCTGAGATGGCTAGCTGAACTCATTGCACCCTACGGAAGGAACTGACGGATTACGGCCTGGGAGATACGACTTACTTTGTTGACAAGCTATGTATTGTAAACGTAGTGGGGATGCTCTCTTTCAATGTATGCTTATCATTTACGAACGTCTCTTCAGAAGAAACTTTGGATGTAATAGCCAGGCATCCAAGCAAAGTCGGGTTCCAAGAGCTCCAACTCAAGTCCTCACTCCGCCTATGCACAAAACCTATTCAATTCCGATTCAGTGTAACCCGATTCCGGCCGAGGGACGGTATGGCCACGAGCAGTCCATTGGGTCCAGTTTTGGCTTACACCCTGGAAACCACCGAGCTACGATCTCATATTTAAAATGCCCACTTTAATGGCCGGTATTTGGGCGACACATTTGTTGTCTTTGGCGCTCCACAACAGGCAGCAGTTAGAATGATGAATATGTGTCATCAAGCGATTGACTTCATGACAGAATCCGAATCCCATGGATCCTTCCATATCTTTAATGTTAATTTACACGGAAAACCAGACTCTACACTCGTTCGATCTGTATACATAAGACCAACATCGACGCAACAATACCTTAGCTTTAATAGCTTCTTTCCTACGAACTACAAGCGCACTTTAATTCGTACCGTTTTTGTTAGAACTCATCAGGTTTGTTCTCCAGACACAGTGAACTGGAACGCGTTACCTCGACACTACAAGAAAACGGATTTCCCGAGCAGTACATTACATGACATGTTAGCCTATCGCTCAGAGACAAACCATTAACTGATGTTTTAAAGCAAAAGGGTACGCTTTACACTTCCGTTTAAAGGGTACGAAGTTGACATGAGAAGTTGATATCGTCTCCGCTAGCCTACTAAGGTGTTCTATTAAGTGGCTCATTTAGTGGTTATGCATTAAATCAGAAGCCTGTTGTGCGAATTCAGCCTGGATGGACCGGCCTCTCAACTTACCACTTCATGCATCTACCTCTTTAACTGTACCTGCGCTAGCGGATACATTAACCAAGCTGAGAGAACTGTCAGTATGAATTGCAGAGCAAGTTCCGCGAAACAATTGCAAATGGTCCAAAGCTACCCATTAGCTCGATTGCTAGTCACATACCTGAATGCTCTGTGTGGCACGCAGGGTTTTTACCACAATGATTATGCCTCTATTGAGGCGTCTTACAATGCCGGGAATAAATAATTTATTTGTGTACACAAGGCAACTTCCGCTTACTTTAGTTCGCCGAATCCTCAGCGGTTGAAACCAAGTTTGTGAAGACTGACGGGTTTCGTGATCATCATCGCCATACCTCGATGATACCAGTGATCATTTGTTCTTCTGACTGGAGTCAGGTAAACACAACGGCTTTGCTCCATCTTAAATTTCACCGACAACCGCACGAAGATTAACGATAAATGCAACCTGTCCATTCCACGAATTTTTTTCTTGCATTGATGTGCACTTTGGAACTGCCTACTCAGGAAAGGTGTGAACGAAGAGTATGTAAACATTATCCGAGCGCTTTACCCGTTTAGCTCGACCAGCGTGAGGGTCTACGGCAATCTGTCACTGCCCTTCAGTGTCTCCAGCGTGCTAAGACAAGGATGCCAACTGTCACCTTTCCTTTACAATTTCCCCACCTACAAAGTCATGGTGATGTATTGCGGCAGTATAGCTGAGGTGTTTTCCACCTGCAGCTAACGTGTGTACTGATGCTGTCCCCCGTAGTTCGGTCACCATAGTCGAACTGAACTTTTCCGACTACCCCTCCTACCTTTCATGTTTCGACAAGTTGGTTCGTACTTCTACGTAATCTTTGATTTTTTCTAGTTAGACGTTTTCGCTGCTTCATCTTATGTCTGTCGACTTAGACTGTCTACTCATTGTATTCGCTCTCCCCTTGTTCTGCTGCCCTATATGCTTTCGTATATTCCCTGTGCAGGTGATGAACTGCACTTGTTTTCTGCACTCTGGACGGTGCGCGCATCAGATTCCACAGAGGAACCCTGCACTAAGTTTTCCTCATTATCTCATTCGGCTGTCGTCTCCTACGAGGACGCTTTGCTGCGCGCTTACGTCCTTCCCACGGAAGCTGTTTTGCTAAGCATTCCTCCAACAATCCACATGCCTACTCCATCTGAATTACACACTAATAGTCTGGTGACTGTGTGGCTTAACAATTGGGCTTCTTACTACATATGGCGCGGGCTATGTCGTCCTCCTGATGGTCTTGTCAATACTTCTTGGTCCGAGTTCTCCAGCCCCCTTGCTATCCTTCTACATTGGCCAATGACCGTGTACTATATTGTCGCAGAGGTTCTGCCCAGAACTAGTGAGTTCTGCGATTTCGTTCCAGTTTCTGTTTAGATTTATTGATTTACCCTTGGCAATCTCACTTTTACGAGACGTGTGATATCCACCTTTTCCACTCCATCTAGATAACTCCCTACAGTTCATCGGCTATGATCTCTGCATTGAGATGCGGCGGATTCATTTGCCTTGATGCTCGTCGTTGCGGTAGTAATAATGATAATAATGGTAGTAATAATAAAATAATAATAATAGAGGGATAAACCAAACTTGAAGTCCTCGAATAGCATTGTCACGAGTTGGAAATGATGGGATGAATGCGATGGGGTTAATAGCTTCTTGTCCGTATCATCTTCCTTAGTTTATACAACCATTCAAGTGCGCGATCACGGGAACACATTCCAAGAAGGCCGCAAACGTCAAGCCGACTGAGCCTTTCGGTAACTTCTTCACACTTATCAGCCGTATCCTCGACTGGCCACCTTGAGGCTCTGCTCCTCTGAATTCAAATTTGATAAGCAGTGCAATGGATTACGACGGACCAATCACATGAACCACTGGGCAACTTGCCGATGCTGTTTTACTCCGTCGCCGTCTACTTGATTATTACATTGTACGTAAAGTTTCCTTGCTTGGGTCTTGCGTTGGTGATGGTCCCTTTCCAGCGGCAACACAAAATTTTGCTGACACCGATAAAACTACCATCGTCGACTGATGATCGATAACCTGTCTAGCACTGACCCGGCATGAGCTTTCATGTTTTTACGCAAACAAGGTCTGTGGACAACGTTGTCTTTTGATTGGCCCATCTGGTTAAGGACTCTCACACTATATTTGATTTTCACTATTCTGATTTCATGCAGCTGGCTCACACCAAGCTGAAGCGAAAGCATGCTTTCTTTGTGTTTGGGTTATGGCGCGCAGCGGTTCACAACTTAATACATTATTCTCGTTTTTGTTCAGGTCCCCACACAGTCAGTTCGGTTCTTAGTAAGCGCACCTTGACGATTCATCTGATCGGAGTGGAACACGAACTCTCCATGCTGCCTGTGTTTCAAGTAACCGCCCGTTTTTGTTTTCTCGCTCCTATCTGCTTTAGCTGCCATTTGGATATTTCTCTGATTGCTGCATTAGCGTTAGTTGGACATTGCCTAGAGATTGGTAGGCTTGTCATTTGTCAACTTCAGTGACTATATTGAACGCAGTTTCCATGATCCACTCAACCATTATGTTAGTGTTATTCAACACTTGACCAATGTACACTTGGCAGTGCCACAACATTAATAAAAACGGGGAAAACAGGTAGTCACTGAAATGCTTTGGAAAGTTTAGATAGGTAATGTGTTGTGTGGGCAGCGATCTTCCCGATTACCCAGGTCGAGGAAGAAGGTTGACTTAGGGGACCCCACCCCGAACTTCTGGTCTTAAGACTTAACCCAAAAGGCAGCGGAGCGATTAACGAAGATCGTTGATATCCGGGTGACTCTCGCCTTTTTTATGTTCAGTAGCAGTAGCAGCACCCTTGTAATTGTAGATGAGATCACGAACCGTATAACAAAAGCTCGAAGTGCTTTTTCAAACCTTCGCCACCTAGGGCGGCGGCGCGACATCACTCTCGCCCTGAAAAGTAGAGTGTACAATGCAGCGGTACGTTCGACCCTACTGTGCGGTTGTGAAACCTGGCCCCTAAGATCGGCGGACATAAAGAGGCTAGTTACGTTCGAATATCGGTGCCTTCGCAGTTTGGCTCACATCTGGTGGGAACACCGCGTGAGCAACGAGCGTGTTCGACGCCTTGTTTACGGCACAGGAAAAGGAACTGAACCGCTCAGCACCGTCATTTCACTCATCAGACTCCGATGGCTAGGCCACGTGTTGCGCATGCCAGCCCACCGACTCCCTCGACTTGCGTTGTTTGCTCACCGGGGATGTGGATGGAAGAAGAGGAGGGGTGGCCAAGCGATGACTTGGTCCAAAGGAATGAAGGCCCTCACTTCTGAGCTGGCCTCCATTGGAGCGTCTCGGCTCCCTGGTTGGGGTCCAAAACACGATGAACACGTTTGACTGGATACACTTGCTGACATGGCAAGGAGCCGACCTCAGTGGCGTTTGTGCTGTGAGTTTCTTTGTCCTTCCCGATCCGCTTTTATCCTCCCCCTCCACCTACGATCTCATTTTGTAGCGTAAAACATAATAATTTCTCTTTTTGCCTAGTAGCTGGCTGGTAGTTTACCGGAACGATGCCTATCCGTTACTGGTAGCTCAGCTGGCATACAACTGTTGTATTTATTTTCCTTTTCCTTCATGTATTGTGGCACAATAGCGGAGGTGTTTTCCACCTCTAGCTAGCATGTATAATGATGATGATGAGTAGCAGTCCACAGAGAAGCCGGTGGCGAGCAAGGTTGTTCATCTTTTCTCCGTTATACACTTACCTCTGGTATCGGAAGCGAGTGATCAGTGACCCTATAGCCGGTCACATTGGCTTTGATGCAGCGCCGTACAAGCTCTTGTCGTATTTGATGGAGAACCAAGTGACCAGCCCAGAACTCCGCACGCTCTGAGACGCTACCACTGATTGTTCGCGACTGCTTATTCATGTCACCTGCAAGGCAAACAAAACTTTTTCGCAGTTGCCTCCACAAGAAAGGTATTCCCCAATCCGCAACCTAAAGACGCACCCGATAGCGTACAGCTCCACCACGGGACTCCACCATGATAACCCTGTTGTTAACAATTTGGGAGCTGAATGTGTAGGGAAGAGGTATATGAAAACACTGTTCGAAATCAGATCGAAACTGAGAAGATACCTGAGGATGATAGTAGTCCAAGTGTGAGTCCGTACACAATTATGTTTGGTCGGATTGCCAACCATCTATGGGATCTGCCTCGAGGCTCCGGGCTAGGAAGCTAACGTGACTTAGTCTGCGTCTTCACGCACTTTCGCCACCTCGTTGTCTATCCACCGTAAAACCTCATTTCACTAGAGTCATTGATGGCGAACGGTGCAATCTAGGTATGCCGTCGATTCAATTAACACTGTGTTATCTGGTTTACGCATATGTTCAAAATTCAACGAACCCTACTACACAACACCAACTGGTTCCCCTTCTATATACCAGCGGTTTATCCGATGGTCAAAGAAAATTAATCGCTTAGTATTATGTATGAGACTGTTATACTTCTCGTCTGCACGATAATGCTGGTTACACCGTGGTGTAGTACATCCGTCTTTTAACTAATATGCTTCTATAACCTCCTCTCTACGGACACTACTTAGTCTTAACTATTATTTGACTACCAACACGAGCCCATCTATCATTTTCAACGGATTATCATTATTGCCGTGAACTACTGGTAAGATGGCGTCATTTCTTGCAGGGAAGGCACAAAGCATGCAACGCGCCCACAGATGGCCTTGTCCGATTCTAAACAAAGTGTCACATGACCTCCATTCTTTAAATTTATCAAGCGGACACAATGAACCTCTCAATGTGCAGATGGTGCAAAATGAGACATTATCTTTTCTTCAACAGACTCGTGAAAGAAAATAGACTGGGCTGTCCTCTCACCCTGGTTTTTTGATAATCCCACTGTTAAGTAGACATTGGGTGGGACCCGCCCGAAAACACCACTTCAATGTCTATTCTAGTTCATCATTTACGGACCCACTGAACGATCTGACTAAACTTCACTTCAGTGCGAATCTCGGTCCATATTGAGATTGCGCTTCTCAATCCAATCACCCAACAACCACTGCAAAATGACGCTTCAGTCAGTCATTAGCAGTTGTGCCAAGGGTTGCCCGTCGTGACCCGGTGGCTATAAGGGTAGAGGTTCCAACTAACTTCACAAATTTTCGGGTTCTATGCTCTCTATCTCTACCTGATGATATCAAACACGATTGAATGGCGTAGTAGAGTGCAGTGTTTTCAGGCGGGCATCACCCAATTCCCATACGTTTCAGCTGCGGTCCTAGTGATGGAATATGCCATGGTTCGCTTGCATAATAGTCACCTTCCACATTGACATCGCGCCGCAATCCAATTGTGGATGAGTACCTAAAGTTGAAGCTCCAATCTGTCCTTAACCATTGTTCCATGTTTGCCCTTCGTGACTTGAGGCCAAATTGGTCCCGGATTCGACGAGGCTTGCGCTCTATATGTGATGATATACGATTGAAACACGTGGTGGAATGAAGTGTTCTCTGGCGAACAACACACCCAAATCCCACACGCTTCAGCTGCAGTCCTTGTGCCCCAATTGCCCAAGGTTCGCATCTTTAGGAAACACAGTACTCATTGAGATTGCGCGTCACTATCCCATCACACGAACAACCTCGTGGTGCCAGCTGCGTGGTTCGGGATTTTTCCGTTCTAGCAAATGGTTCGGCGGCAGTGTTCCAGGACGTGGTGGGTTTTCGCCTGGCAAGCGTTCTCCCTATAAAAAGCCACATATGTCCGTTTAACAACACTGTGATGTGGCGGACGTGACTCGCCACTAAATAAAGTCACTTCCCCTTGCTTCATCCTGACGAAGCATTGTATTCCAGCAAGTTTATGCTGTAATTTTGGGGAGCGTTGGGCCCCTGTTTGACAAAGAAACAAACGAAAGGTGTATGAACTGAGCAATCGCTCACCGGCTCCCAATGGGCGCGATTCCCTGGATTCTCTCCGCTGCGTTACGGGCAGGCTATTCAGCCAAGGGCTCGGAGTGGTGTCCCCTAAGTCAACACCCTACTTCGGCTTGGGCAACCGGATAGTATCTCGCCTTCTGACGAAACCATGGACTTTGATGTGTTGTGTTTTCTTTTACTATTTCCGTTCCTTCTTTTGAGTTCCATGGTTTCCGATGACTCAATATGTATTCATAGACTGTTGCAATATATATATATATATATATATATGTACATATATATCACACGAGTAACAAAAATTGTCCCACCTCAGTCGTTGCATTTTTTCGCAAAGATTTGTTCATTGCGACTTTGTGTATCCCGGGGATAGAGATACTAAATAGCATCCTTATGGTCCACTTTTCGAGGCCTGCTGTATCTACCTTCTGAGTTTAAGCAAGATTGAATCACGTAGTTAAGAGCAATGTTTCGGGAGACAAACACTTAATTCCCATAAGCTTCAGCTACGGTCCCGGTGATTAAATTGACCAAGATTTGCATCCATAAGAATCACCGTTCACGTTGAGGTAGGACGTCGCAATCTTTTCACAACGAATACTCAAAATTTATCGCAGATCAGTTAGTAAACTTTGTGCCATGTGTTGCCCGCAGTTACTTGGCGTCCAAATGGTCAGAGTTTCCAACTCACATCCCAATGGTTCCGGATTCTTGGACTACTATCTATACCTCCTGAGTTCAAACAAGCTTAAAAGGCGTAGTGGATTACAGTGTTTTCGGGTAGGCAACACCCAATTACCATACACTTTAGCTACGGTCCTAGTGATCGAATTACAACTATAAACGTAAGTTAGTGGTGGGAAACACCTCAGCTACTGTGCCGCAATACCTAAAAGAAAAAAGGGGAATAAAGTGCAACAGGTGCAAGCCGACTGAGCTACCGGGAACGGATGGGCATCGTGCCGGTAAGCTATCTGCCGGCGATCGAATTACAATGGAACAGTGGCATATTACGGGCAAAATAGCGGATGCTGAGCAAGTTCCGTAGGATGGCCAAAGGGAGAACCACAACATGGTGAATAGAAACCAAAGAGATAAGATGTAAATCATTTTGGTGGACTCACCACAGTGTTAACACAGTGGCACACAGGAAGAGCCAACCACAGTTGTATAGGTTAATTCTGGTTGTGCACCTTTCGTCGCAGTATATCACTTGTCGAGACACAGGCTATATCTACCAGTGTAGGTGAATTAGGGCAACATCAAAACGGGTTTTAAACACAAATAAAGTGGGAGCGGAAACAACCTAATTTGGGTGGGCGTTCCAAGGCTGACACACACAAAGAGAGTAAAAATTTCGTCGATATTCTAGCCGACTGTATTGCGTGGCTAACTTGTACTGGTGCCCCCTTGACTTCGTGTTGTGGCTCAGTTTTAGTAAGTGACGGCAGACGTGGTTGGGGTTCCTTAGAATCTTGTGGACCCTAATAAGGTCGTCACGTAGGCGCCGGTAGCGGCCACTGCATAATTGTTGGGCTCCTCAGTCTAAGTTGATACTGAAGATTGAACAATCCTTTGACGTGCTTCGTGGGTCGTCGCTGTGGGGTCGCGAGCACTGCAGGGTCTTGTTTGTGCCAGGGCTGCCACACCTGAATCTCATATTCCATATGAGGTCACACCTAGGTGTTAAGCAACTGCGGACAGACAGAGAGATCAAACAGCCCAAATGCCCTCCACAGCGTGCCAACCTGTTTGTTCCCAGTCTTTGACGCCTTATCAGATTATTCTGAGCAGCTCAGATCATTCTGAACTGGTACTCCAAAGTCGCGCTCCCGAGTGACTGCTTGCTGGACATGATCTCCAAGCTTGTATGTTATGTTCGGCTGTTGGCGAATCTGAACCACCTTGCACTTCCGGAATAGAACTGGAGCAGGTTGTGGAGTGACCTACTATACACTCTGTCCAGGCCTCGTTATAGTGCATCATGATATGCAGGGTCGGCGATCGTCTGCCACATCTTAACATCGTCAGCGAATGGCAAGAAATCTGAAGTAATCAGGCGCGTAAGCTCGTTAATGAACACGAGAAACAGAACTGATCCTTATGGAACTCCACATTCGACATAAATCGGATCGGACAGCGCACTTCGAACTGTGCTTTGCAGTTGCCGATCCTGCAGGAAATTCCTGATCCACCCAAAGAGTGGATTACCTACTCCATAGCTTTCGAGCCTGTGAAGTAGAATGCGGTGGTCCAGTTGGTCGAAGGCTTTGGAGAAGACGAGGTAAATGACGTCTGTCCACCTTCCTTCATCGTCCACTTTCGTCCAACTACTGCGTACAATCAGTAGGTTGGTAGTGCATGAAGGGTGCTGGCTGAGGCCGTGTTGCTCGGGTGCTATGATGTGGCGTTCGAGAGGGTCTACTAAAGCCTCAGCGATGATTGCATCCATCACCTTTGAGAGCACAGGGAAGAGGACCACCTGGCGATAGTTGGCGGGTTCCGAGCGATTACCGCTTTTGAAAATTGGAGTGATTACGCCAGGTTTCCACATGGTAGGCACAGTTTGTTTATCCAAGCACGTTGGAAAAATGCGATAATGGTTCGGCCAGCGTTGTTGCTGCTACGTTCAGCGCTTTTGGGTGATTATACTCGATTTTGCGAGAGCTGTAGATGCGTAGTGAGAGCAGTTTCTTCAACACAGATGTGGCAGTAAAATCGATATTAGTGGGTGTTAAAGTTGGGGATAGGAATGTGGCACTCTGTGTCACTCCGACTGGTGTGTTAAGTAGGGGGAGGGATACCGAGCTTCACTTTCCAGTTGGTGTTAACATACTTGTATAGCTTTTTTGTTGGCAAAGTTACAGGCCAAATGTTGTTGGTGAGTCAATTTGTCCTCACGGACAAACATGTTACAGTGGTTGCGCTAGGTCACTTAATCGGGACAAGGACGAGCTCTGTAAGTGTGCCAAGCTGCGTTCCTTATTGACATGCGCTTGCGAGTTCTACTTCTGATGAACTGATCGACGAGGGATGGGTGGAGCGAACCCTCCTTGTTTCTGAAGCAGTTGCGATTACATTGCTGAAGCGTCCAACAAAGTGAATGTAGGCTCTATCAGGTGAGCCACCTTACAAAAACTCCCAATCGGTAGTCTCAACTAGGTTTTTCAAGATATTGTAATGTGTGATAGTACATGTTGCTTCTGTGTGTTCCTCAGGATATTCAGCGTAACACACATAGTTATAAAGTATGGTGACATGATCGCTTAACCCCAGTGGGGTGTCTATAAGTGGTATGTTCATCACGAGTTCCTCATTTGTAAGGCCGAGGTAAAGTACCGATGGTTTGTTATCAGCTCTGTACCTGGTAGATGAGCTGATATGATTGTAATGCGGGATACTTGCGATAAAATCTTGCAGTTCGGCCTTGTATGTTTCGCTGTGGGGTGCCGAGCTTTCCAAGTCGTTCACCTTGAAATCGCCAGAAGTAAGAACGTGGCTGTAAGTTGGGAGTACGCATTTCCTCAGTGATGACATTAGGCGGGAATACATCTCTGAGGTGGACCATGGAGGGCCATATACGATTGCGACGAAGCAGTTGTCCTTGTGTCTGAGACGCAAACAGCCCCAAAGCGAATCGGTGACCCGCGTCTTGGAATCATCCAGTGGTTCGCATTGTAAGTCGTTACGATAGTATAGGATAGCACTACCTCCCCTGCTGGGATGATCGTGTCGGAACAAGGACATACATGAATTAGCCAAGGTTCACTTCAATGCGAATCGCGGTCCACATTGGGATTGCGCTTCGCAATCCATTCACGCAACAAGTGATATGGAATGACTCCCCCAATCTCAGAATTACTTTCTTGTTTATCCTTACACGACCCCGTGGGTTACCTGCGGCATGGGGTTTTCGTGATAGTCTGGAATTCCCGCATTACGCTTCTCAAGATTACACAGGAGTACAAGCATTTGCGGCCAACTAAACCATAATCGACCCTTGAGCGATTGCCTTCGCATCAACTTAGTATCGATACATCTTCTTGAATAGGCCTGTGATCCGCCACTGTTTGATATAATGTGAGCAGTTTTGCAGCCAGAACAATGCGTCTGATTTAGGAAGCCATCATCTCTGTGTTGGCCCAACATGAGCCACTGGTACTGCGATTGCCTCTTATTTCTGCTTCACGCCACCTCATCCCTGCAAATCACTTCTCATTTGGCTGTTCTTCTGCCGCTGTGCTTCCTGATTTCCCCTATTTCTCATTCACTTACAGGAGCTGGATTATTTACTTCGACCCGGATTACTAGTAACATTTTTCTTCATCGGTATGCACATAGATCCCACGGTGAATCGTAAGACATTCTATTTATCCAATAGACTGTCTGTCGCCGTTTGGACAGGTGCCTATCACGACTTTGTACTCGAGCATATGTCAGCGGACATCCGACCTGATTTGATCATTGGTGGGTTTTTCTCCATTTTTCTGATGCTTACGATTAACGTGGCTTTCCTCTTTTGTGTATCACTGATCCTGTGTGGAATAGTGCTCTTTCATGACACATACGAAGCGAGTTCACACGATTGAAACCTTTTATTATGCCATCAACTGCTTGAACCAACTTGGAAGGTGTTCGACCACTCTTTAACTCAGTCGACGATCGGCCCTGTCAGTGTAATAGTCACCGCAACTGCGCGTACTATGGTGGGTAACGTCTTTAGCTGTCGCGTGTGCCGCAAATACCTTTCACACGAATGTGGCGGTGGCGGTGGCTCTGCTGTATACCTTCATAATGGCTGTAATACGATCTTTGTCGATCAAGCTGTGCCCAGTGACCTAGTATGTACACTATTGCTGATGATCCTGTCTATTGTTATCCTATTGCGCTGCATCTGTTGGTTACCCGAGTCACTCACGATTTAACCCAACAATGAATTGCCTTCAGCACCACCTAAAATGCCAAAGTCATGTGCGGAGATTTCAACCTGCCACTTGTTGATTGTTTGCTGCTTACACCCAGGGCCACTACTGCCGGACTTGAAGAAACAATCCGTATCCATTTCAATGGCTGGACCAGTATGTTAGAGGGCTCACCAGAAGTACCACCACCCTAGATATTGTATTCATGATGGGATCCCGTCCGACTATATATTCATCAATAACTCACCATCGGGTTGTGATCATAACACGGTACTTAGCAACGTGACCACGGAATCACCTAAACCATCACGTACAATGTTGATAACCTTTTGCAACTCGCGACGCCAAATGTCATGTCAAGAGGGCAACAGAAAAAATCAAGATGTGTATATCGGTACTCCAGAGGTAAAAGACTCAACACACATACGAGGGTCATTCAATAAATAAGGTGAATTTTTCGGTATAAGGACTTCTAATACAGATAGAAGCTTACTTTTTATTTTTGTTGTTTTACTTCTTTTTCACATGGATGTAATTTCTTTCGCAGATTGAAAAAAATCTTTGAGAGTTGTAGCGATTAACAAAGATGGCCGACCAAAAAGCATGCTCCAGGATTGAACAGCAGTCAGTTATCAATTTTTTTGGTTGCTGAACAGTGCAAACCAGTTGAAATTCATAGAAGAATGTCAACTGTGTATGGTGCCACATGTTTCAGCCGAAAAATGTCTACAAGTGGGCAAAATTGTTTAGAGAAGGACGGAGCAGTGTTGAGGATGAAGACAGGCCTGGGAGGCCTACAGAAGTGAGGTCTCCTGAGGTGATCGAATCAGTCAATGACCTCATTCAGTCGGACAGAAGGGTGACAGTGGATGACATTGCAAGGACTTTGAGCTTATCTGTTGGGGCGGCACACAAAATTGTCTATGTCATCCACTGTCACCCTTCTGTCCGACTGAATGAGGTCATTGACTGATTTGATCACCTCAGGAGACCTCATTTCTGTCTTCATCCTCAACGCTGCTCCCTTGTCCTAATGACACTGAGTTTCAGTGGAATAGGATCTCGGCCGCAATGCAACATGCAGGAGCCTCCGCTTGCGACACTATTAGTCATCTCCGCACCAGTCACTGGATATCCGAGAGATTGGTGAACCCGTTAGAATCCAAAAGAAAACTCCCGGCTGGCTTTGAGCACAATGCGAATAGACGGACTATTAGGCGCGAACTCAAGCGGAGCGTGCGTGCTGACAAGGAAGCCTAGTGGACCAGTCACGCTCACAAAATAAAGGGAGCAGGAGCAGTAGGCGATTACTGCAACCTCTTCCAGCTGATCCGCACCACCGATCCCAGGAAACCAAGCGTCAGTGAGACAATTTGAGACATCAGACGTGCACTGATACACAATAAGGAGTGCCGTATGGCTCGCTGGGCGCAACACTTTTAAGATCAGTTCTGTTGGCCCCCTGCCTCAGACATCTTCCTACTCAGGTGTTGCAGGACAAGCCATGGAGGCTCCATCGGAGGCCGAGGTCCGAAACGCGATCACAGCCCTCTATAGTTTTCGTCCTGTTGTCCCGTATTGTCCCCCACTTGCACCATTTAAGGATGGTGGTGAGGTCCTCTGCAAAGCACTGACCTATTCGAACGTATCTGAAAGGAAGAGAATGTTCCGGATAGCTGGCGTGCATCGATTATAGTGGCAGTATACGAGACAGTCGCACAGACTGTGCTAACCACAGTTGTGATAGCCAGTTTTGACAAAAATACTAACCGCTATTCTCGTTTGTCACCTTACTGTGGGACGGGAGCCTCTTATCAGGGAATGGGAAGCAGGTTTCCGCCTAGGACATGGCTGTATAGGCCATATATTCACTCTGCGGTAGGTGCTGGAGCAACGCCACGCAAACCGCAGCCCGGCAATAGCTTTGTTCCTCAACTTCAAGAGCACATTTGATTCAGTCGATCGATACGCGGAGAATTGTTCCAACGAAATATAGGAACATCCTACGTGATCTATACTCGAACACGACAGGCCGCGTCAAAGTCTGCGGTGACCTGTCGAATAGCTTTCCGACCACAAGTGGCGTTCGTTAAGATTGTCCGATTTCCCTGTTTTTCTTCAATTTCGTCTTTGACCCTATCATGGGGTGTTCCCTTACCGAATCTCACGATGTAGAGGTGGAGCTCCTGCCAGGTGGAAGTTTTGTTTATCTTAATTATGCGCACGATATCGTCTCGCTTTTCAACGATGTTGCGCCGGCACAATCAACTCTGAATAGCCTGTCTAGAGTGGTCCCATTATTTGGTATGTGCTTCGCAACTTCAAAGCGCAAAGTGTTGCTGCAGGACCACCAGCCACTTGATGACCCCTTGACTCTTGCTAGCGAGGAACTCGAGGTGGTTGCTCAGTTCACTTACCTTGGCAGCCGCATCAGCAACGATGGGCGTATAGGAACTGAAGTCCTTGCAAAAGCCAGCAATGTTTTCTTGAACCTGCGGCATCTTTGGCAACAGAAAGGATTTTCCTTCCGTCTGCATGGCCTTGTTTACAAAGCCACTGTGAGGGTCGTGCTACTCTATGGAAGCGAGACTTGATCCTTTCGATCTGAGGACCTGCGGCGCGTTCAAGTCTTTGATCATCGTTGTCTGCGAAGTATTGCTGGTGTCGGATGGCACCAGCGTGTCCGCAACGATGATGTGCATAGGCGAGTAATAGGCAATAATAACCAGGCTAATTCCTTGGAACAACATATAGGGCTGAGAGTTGTCTTTGCTTTGGACACCTACTACTTATGCCTTGTCACCGCTTACCTAGGAGGGCCTGTTCAGTCTACCAGGTGTAGGGTGGCGCAAGACTCGAGGTGGACAGTAGTTGACTTGGCAGCGGGAAATGCAGTCACTGATGACCAAACTGGGTGCCGTTGGTGCTTCTGGGCTAGAGTCCACTTGACGCGCCTCGTGCTTGGCTCGAGACTTTACAGGACATGGCTCGCAAGCGACACCAGCGGCACGTCTGCTGCCATCTCCTAGCCGGATTACTTGTTTAAAGTGTGTTTGGTGCTGAGTTATTTGCGGAGTGATGGCTGACTATGACGCGTGGCAGTGAAAGCCGCAAGAAAGCTGTCTCGCCGATGCCGCCTTATCTTTACACGATAACCAGCTGTTTGTGACGGCATGTTGTCTGCACAAGGTGTCGGCTCCTTGACCCTGAATGTTTACTTAGGGCACTAAGGTTTACAGGTAAGCCCACCTCTCCCTTTAAGTGTTCTTTTTTCCATAGATCATCATGGTTGTATGGCAGCGAAGCATCAGTTCAAGTGGCTGCTGTACTGCTATTGTCAATGATGGTTGTAATTCACAGTATACCGTCCAGTAGGAACCTACCGGCAGAGGAAAGAATATGTTTATCTGTTTCTGCCGTCCAACTGTGACCATATCGCAGGCGGCATGGGGCACAAGCCCGGGTCTGGTCTGAAGTGTAATTAAGCAACCACCCAGTTGCAACTCATGCTTCACCACTATATCAGAGTAGTCTGTGGAAAAGTTTGGCCTCTCATGCTATTTACCAGGTTACATGCGGTTGCGGAGATGTTTATATTGGCAGGACTGAACATCGGCTGACTCAAATGGTCGCCGACCACCTCCCATGTTGAGTAGAACATAAGGTTTTTGTATTCGCTTTGTTCGGGTGAAGAGGGGATACATTTCATTCTTGAAACTTGTGCAAAGCGACTATATTATCAACAGCTCTACGCAAAGAGTTGATGTTTATGCGTGTGTCCGACGTCGAACTTTGTGCTTAATTGCTTGGGATTGCTTTACTTTAAGCCTGCTGTTTCACTGAACTGACACGTAATTTCCATCGGTCTCTAAAAGTAATTAGTAAGGTGCACATAGAAACACTGTGTGTACATATTTTGCCTGTTTCGTCTTCCTTCTATCAACTTATGCTGTCGATTGTATCTCCTTTTCCGGAGCGAGTAACTCCACAACACGTTGGGCAAATACCTGCTTTACAATAGTGATATCCCCAAATCTTCAGCTTTTCAAGCTACCGTTCTATATGCTTTCGTGCTATCAGGACCTAATTCACCCCCCTCCTAACTGCTAAGTACCAATAGTCATTGACTCGTTTCCACACCGTTTTGAACCTTACTCCTCTGAAACACAGTGAATGCTATCTTGCTTTCTCATTTCATATCTTCTTCCCGCTTAGGTCTTAATTCTGGTCTGTCCGCATACACCAGCTGGACGCCCACACTGAAGCTCATTGGAGTGAGTTTCACATTCCTTGCAATTCACTTTCGTTTTCATGCTTTTTCCGGCGGATTTCACAGTGGTGTAGCCTATGGTACTGTAAACCAATCGAGCGTTGGTTTTGTTTGTAATTCAGCATCACGACAGTGAAGTGTACGCTGCGAACTGTCACCCCTGTTTCACCTTGATCATATCGGCTGTTCTAATCCTCTTTGGTCAAGAGTCGACAGACCCATCTTGTCAACACATTCACGATTCAACTCCTTCTTTTCGCATATACCTTCCAACGGATACGGCAGTTAACTAGCGGCTTTTTGACATTTACGGACTATTTTTGCGGATTATTTTGGTGAATTCACTCCCTTGCCATTACCTCGTTGGTAGTTCCGCTCAAACACACACAATAATGACTCTTATATTAACTGGTCTATGTGGCAGATGGAACATGTGTGCGCTTGTAAAATCAGTGCTTGCGTGAGGTTGGTTGAGAAGTCTAACTGGAATACTTGTCCCTTGCTAGCGTCTATCCATAGTCTCCTACGATGGTGACCGATTCCGCTATTCGATGGCCAGATGGGCAAGCTCTTCATAGGAGGATTGTGACACACTTCACTCAACTCTTCGACTTGCATGTGCGCATCTCAATTGACCCATTCGAAATCACTGATATTGCTGTAATGCCTCTCTAGATCTAGCTCAGGATAATTGCACTGTCATTTGGCGGTCCTAAATGAAATGACCGAGTCAAGAAGCTAACTAGGCAACTACTCAGTCACAAGCGATATAGATTTATCTGATCTTCGGTATACGCAGTGATGCCAGCTGTTTGACAAAGTTCACTTTGATGCACGACAAACGCGGCTTCATTTTGTCAGTCATCGTGTCTGCGTAAATTGTCTGTCTCTGAATGATGGGCTGTGTGACATTCTTCGAAACTGGCTACCCTCCTAGGAGCTCCCTAACACACTGACCTAAGCGCGAGTTAGAACATCGGTAACTGTAAATGCAATCAGGCTTGATTTGTGAGACTGTCATCTGTCTTGGACATAGGTTTTGAGGCTACTGATTCTCAAATATAAATAAATAAAGGGTATATTCCTCGACGGTATGAGGCACACCCCAACTGATTTGTCTGGTCATTATGTACAACGGGATCGCATGGGATAGATAATATTTCTTCGAGTTCTTTTTTTCAGAGCAGTTCTCAAACTATTTTGCGTGGCCGTTTGATCTGTTGCAACTTTCAAATAGATGAATTTGTTGATGTTGATAATAATAATAATAATAGTAATAAGCGCATATAAATCTTAATGTTCTAGTAAACTAACACGGACAACCGTGCATACGTCTCTAGGGTACCTGCTTCCATGCAGGTTAGTCCCTCGAAAGGTTCCGCCCGCACTTCCATTTCTGTTCTGACCGTGTGCTGGTGTGGCTTTGAAGCAGGTTTGCCATCACCAATTGTACTCATCTTTAGGCTTTATATATATATATATATATATATATATATATATATATATATATATATATATATATATATATATATATATATTGTTGGCGGCATCCGGTTTCGGATTTGACTGTCACTGTGGCAAGCCACAGGACGCCTGCGCCTACAGAGGGACCATGGGTGGCTTGCGCTGCACTACCCACAGCTCCATCCGCACACCCCATATGCAGTGTAAACCCGAAGGAATAAGACCGGGAGGCATGTGGATGGGAGCCACATTTCATCAACGGAGCCGGCCCACACTCCTTCACAGGCAACCGCAAGCACGCGGTATTTGGGGAATCAAGTGCACACAAGGCGGTGGCTGGACCGTAGTCCGCTCCACACTGAGCGCATGGAACCACTCTTCGATCCTAACTCGCCACAAGAACCGTGCTCCCCGTCCCCTCCAGCAACGACCAACTGTTTCCTGGAGCCAGTATGGACGAGGTAGTGGGTAATAGACAGGTAGGCATCTTGTAAACATGCACATCAAGCACAGCCACACCGGAGTTATCAAGCAACAGCCAATCATTTAAAATGACAAAATAAATCAAATCGGATAATGGTATGGAGATACGGAGACATAACTCTTCACTTAATAGGCGTATAAAATTGATTACGAAGAAATCCGCGATAAGTTCAAGACGTCAGAAAAAATATTTTAAGGAAATGCCACCAACGCGAAAATGTTATCGAAATTAACTATAATTAGCTACAGCGACGTGTGCAAATTTAGAGGATATTCCAGGTAGACATTAATATGAGAAAAAAAGCATTAGGAAAATATAGAAGACCCACTACCTGAAATAAAGTGACTCAGCATGCAAGTACGCGGTTAGTAAATCGAATGCAGCGTACGTACAAACGCTGCGCCGTTTCTGTCTACCTTCTCAGCAGGACCCGTCGTCGCTTCGGTAGTGGTCCCGAGTGGTCTCGCTCATGGATCACTAGACCCACCTGACTCAGGCACTCGCGACCGCATGTGCTACAGCACCATGCGCTCGATGTCGATGGAGTACAATTCATTGGTGCTTGCCGCTTCCGCACTTGCCGCTTCTTCTCTGCATGCATGAGGTCTTTCTCTCGCTCTTCGGCAACTATCTTCGTGATTAGATCGCGCCATGCAAACCGATCAGCCGCTTTTGATCCCTATGCCCTGCAATCATGATTAGAATGTGAAAAGCCCAGTTTGATCATGTCCCCACATGCCGCTTCCCAATACTCAGCTGACCATATAATAGTTGTTTCGCTATCTGCGTCGGATCCATACGAATCATATGATCGAGCCACCTCAGGTGTTTTAGCAAAACTATATAGTCTACTGCATGCATACCACTTCAACGCAACACTTCCTTGTCCACAACTCTGTCTCCCCAACCGCTGCGCAAAATCCATCACAAACACTGTTGGTGAAACCGCTCGAGATATCGCACATTCCGACGGTACACCTTCCACGTTTCACTGCCGTATAGAAGAACGGACAGCAGCATGGATTTGGACACCATCAGCTTCGTGCCAATGGTAAGCTGATGGTTGTTTCACATTCGGTACTCTAGCTTCCCGAATGCCACTGCTGCTTTCGCGATGAGGATACGCAGTTCACAGTTTAGCTGCTGGTCGGTCGACATCACACTCCCAAGGTAGCAAAAACGGGAGGTGGTTTCTAGTACTTCAGCACCAATGCTAATTTGCGGCAATATTGAAGATTGCACCTCCAGTGAAGGTTGAAAGAGACAGACAGTTTTGCTTGTGTTGATGATGAGCCCGAATTTGGCCACTGTCGAAGCGAGAGCACTGGTCATGTGCTACAACTCATCCGCGCTGTGTGCAAACAATGCACGATCTTCAGCAAACAGTAACATACGGATAGTTGTCTCACAGACTAGAGTTCTCGCACCGAAACGACGGATGTTCAGCAACCCACCATCAGTACGATGTTCCACACGAACACCATAAGCACAAGCGGCATCAAAAGCACAGGACAACATTGCATGAAGATATATATTAAACAGGGCAGGAGCTAAGGCACAGCTTTGCTTCACACTAGTGACAACTGCAAAGTCATCCGAGGTCTCTCCACTCAGCTGCACCTTCGCTCGCATACCACTGTGCAGATATTCAATTATACTTACAAAATTATGCGGGCAACCAAACTTACCCAACACCAGCCACAATGCTTCGCGGTTCACCGTATTAAATGCCTTGGTGAAATCAACAAAAAGCGAGTACAGTGGCTGGTTTCGTTCTCTGCACTTCTCCTGCAACTGACGAGCCGCAAACACCATATCTATAGTGCTGCGACCCGAACGGAATCCACATTGCTCTTCCGCCACATTCGGTTCCATAACCTGGCTGACGAGGCGGTTGTGCAGGATTCGGGCAATCACCTTGCTTACTCAACTCAGCAAGTTGACGCCACGATAATTCGTGCAACATTGCTTGCTCCCTTTACCATTGTACAGTGGTAGCACAAGGACATCCTTTAGCCCATGAGGCACCTCCTCCTCAATCCTTGCACGTTGCACCAAGTGGTGCAGCGCAGTCAACAACGCGGGTCTTCCATGTTTCAATACTTCAGGCGGGATCCCGTCGGCTCCGGCACATTTGCCGTTTCGCAGCTGAGCAAGTGCTCTCTGCGTCTCATCCCGTTTCGGCATGTCCGCCAGACTCGCCTTCACATCGTGCTGCTTCAGGCCATTCAATTTAGGCCAGTCGATCTCTGCTCGGTTGTTCAAAAGACAAAGTGTTTTCGCCAGATCTGCATTATGTCTGCAGTTTGTGTGTAGGTAGCGCCTGAACTACCATCGATCAGTGTCCTCAGCGGCTCCAATCTCGGTTCATACACCGCCTTCAAGGAGTCAAATAATTCCTTGTGTTGGCGGCGTTCGGCGTAGCATTCCATCTGCTTCGCCTTCTCCGTCCACCATGCATTTTTAATACGATGGAGCTCTCAGGTCAGTCGCCGTCGAAGTTTGCGAAACTGACTATTTTTCCCCAAGTCACTGGGGTCTGGGACATGTGCAGCAAATGCTGCATTCTTCCCCGACACCAATGCGCCAATCGGCGCATTGTTGTCATTAAACCAATCAGGCCGTTTACAGTTTGCGCGGCCAATGGTCTCCTCGGCAGCAGCTGTCAGCTGATCGCCTATGTGGTGCTACAGGTCGCCCACTGTGGGTATGCCTTCCACATCACACAGGCGTGCAGCCATCGCCTTCTGCAACTCAGTACGTTTCGCCACAGTACCGAGGGAGAGAATGTTATATTTACCCCGATTCACGGCGGGAGTGCAATACATAGATGTACGAAAATATATGTACAGTTTCGTCTTCAGCAATTTGTGTTCAGTGTCACACTCAGCTCCATGCAGTACACGTGTCATGCGCACTTCACGCATATCACGCTGACGTACGATGACATAGTCGAGCAGGTGAGCGTGACCACTCCTTGGGTGCGTCCAAATTGCTATATCACTCGCACTCAGTGCAAACCGAGTGTTCGTGGTTGTCAGGCCGTGATTGGCACA